GGATACTCTTTCTAAGGGATCTGGTGTTTGAAATCCCAATCCTAGTTCTCAAGGTAGAGATAGAACATGCCCAGTTTCTCTGCTATAAATTAATAAGGGAAAAGAGACAGATTGGGCCCAGAAGTGAAAAATAAAGGACATGCTGGGCATGTGCCACTTGGGTACAAGTCCTGGGTGGGGGGTGGGAGTAGTGAAAATGGAAGCTTGCCTTATTTATGTGTTGGGTGAGTTCAGCTATTTTTTTAGCTGATGAATCCTCTATTTCCTGCCCCTAACCCAAAGAGCATAGCTGCCTCTTCCTTNTTTTTAGCTGATGAATCCTCTATTTCCTGCCCCTAACCCAAAGAGCATAGCTGCCTCTTCCTTCTACCTAGCTTGAGACCAAAGAAAGCACAACAGGATTGCCTGCACTAAATTAACCCCAACATGAACAAAGTACGGTCTCCAGGCTGCCCAGGGAAACCTGTCGTAAACAAACAAAGCCATCTCTTCTCTGCCTTCCCGCCAAGGAAAAGAGCCTCAACTTCTGTTGTGTCCCTGAGGGCACAGAGCTTACTCTTCATCAAACAGTCCATTCCGTTTTCAGACAGCTCTGACATAGAAATTCCTTCCTCGTGTTGGACTTCTCGCCCAGCAGGCCTGGTTCAGCTGCATGAGGTCGTCAGCCCCTTCTTGCACATAATAAATAGCCTTTAGGTGGTTAAGGGGTCCTACCTTCTCTTCCAAGTCTCCCCTCTATTAAAGTTCTCTAATGTTTGACGCAATCTCTCCCAGGGCTTGATTTTGAGTTTTCTCACTTCTGGGAGAGGGGAAGGAAGGTCTCCATGTGCAGTAGAGTTGGAGCTGATTATCCATGGCCTCATTAACTGGCTGTGTTACAAATGAGTTCTTTGTAACAAGTTGTCTAATTTCAGATCCAGGCATCCTCATCAGCTGGAGTGTCCCATGATCAATACCAAGCATGGTGATATCCCGAAGGAAGCTTCAGTGGGGGCCTACGTCAAGCTCCACACTGTAGAGGAAGGAGAAATCATAGTAAGTGTACAGAGAGCCTTGTTCACGATATAGTGTGTAACATGATGGGCTGGGAGTGTTAAGAGAGTAAAGGCTTAAAAACATCCTGCTCTATATGTGACGATATTAAGGAACATTATTGATTTTTTTAGATACGATAATTTAAAAGTTACCATATTATGCTTATGGTGTTTTCTTTTAAGAGTTCTTATATTTAGGAGATACATGTCAAACTATTTACAAATAAAATATCACATCTGGGACTGGCTCTAAAATAACTTAAGAATGAGGCAAGGGTGTCCCCTCTCACCACTCCCATTCAGCATTGTACTGGACATCCTAGCCACTGCATTAAGATAAGAAAGGAAATAAAACATACACAGACTGGGAAGGGAGAAATAAAGCTGTCTCTGTTTGCAGGTGACATGCTTGTTTATGTAGACAGTTTCAAAGAACAGAAACAAAGAAAGAACCCCAAAAACTCCTGAAGCTAGTAAATGATTATAGCAAAGTTGCAGGTATAAGGATGGGAGGGAGGAAAGGGGGAGAGAGAGAAGGAGAGAGAGAAAAAACATAGATGTGAGAGAAATATCGACCAGGCTGGGGATCGGACCTGCAACCCAGGTGTGTCCCTTGACCAGGAATCGAACCTGTGACCCTCAGTGGCTGGGCCAGTGCTCTAACCACTGAGCAACACCAGCCAGGGGTAACCTCTTCCTTTTATTCAGTAAAATTCTGCCTCCTGCAACTTTAACTCGCTCCCGGCCCACCCCCCCTTGCCCATCCACCAAGAACAAACCAGAAGGAATCCTCTTCCTTGCCATGTGATGGCCCCTAGGCATTTAAAGAATGCTGTTTTGTTTTTCATTCAGCACGTATGGGGCCAGGCACAGTGCCAGTGCCCTGCTACTTATTTTTTTATTCAGGCAAAACACCCGCCTTCCTTCAGCTAGTCTTCATGTGATGTGGTTTCCAGCCTTCCCTCAGTCCACTTCACTGCAGTCGGTCAGTTTCCGGTGAGGGGCTCTGGACTGAACACAGGCCGCCTGGGCCCATGACTGCAGCCTGGCACATGGCAAGGTGGAGGAGCTGGGGGTGCTTGGCACCCGGGGCAGAATGGAGGCACCAGAGGGCAGGGAAGGCATTGCCCCACTTGTAGATGGTGAGAGGAGCGCAAGGCTGTGTAAGATGGCACAAGAACAACAGGATGTATTCTGTAGGGGCCTGCCGTGCAGGAAGAGGGGCCTTGGACTTGATTCTCTAGGAAGACCTGGCAGTCTTTGGGTGGGGCTTAGAGCAAGGACCTGACTGCTTCATTCACCACACAGAGCCCAGTGCATAGAAGGCTCCCCTCAATATTTGTTAATGGGACCCTTTGGATGAAAATGCTTGTGGATGTCTCATGATGTGCCTTTGGTAAGACCCTGCTTTCCCGGCTTTCAGGGCCCTGGCTTCATTTGTGGGGGAATGAATGGTAGCAGTTGTCACTGTGTTCACCTACCAGGACACAGGAGATCACACCTCCTCATCCTTGGGAGCAGGAGGTGGAGCTAGGCTGGACCTGGAAAAAGCAGAGCTTGGGTCCCTGAGTAGAACCAGGCTTTGCACCAGGAGGCGTTAGGGGAACCAGCTTCTCCAGGGAGCAGGCAGGCCGAGGCCTCGAGATGGTCAAGACGGGCAGCCCAGGGCAGGAAGAAGAAGACACACCGCTGGGGAGGCATCTTACTCTCATTTCGCTTGTAGTGGGCCTTGGGGAAGTCACTGTATTTCACTGAATCTGTGTCCTTACCAAAAAAGGAGATTCACCTGGGCGAGTTGCCAGCTGTAACATTCTGTGTTCTGCTTGAATATTCATTCAGCAGATATTTCTTGAGCATCTGCCATGCTCTAAGCACGGCACAAGGTCCCAGTGTCGGAGATCTAGTCTGGAATAGACAATATACACATAAATTAACAAACACATAGAAAGTTGCAAATTACTGTTAGGAACAGAATAGAAAGCTGGGTTGGTGGGGTAGGGTGGGCTTCTTAAACAGGATGGTCAAGGAGGCTGCTCCGAGGAGGTGATACTTAAGCTGAGACCTGAATGAAGAAAAGAGCAAGCTGTGGATGACCTGAGGGAAGAATGTTCCAGATAAAGTAACAGCAAGTTCAGAGTCTGAGGTGGGAGAGAGCTTGGCATGTTGAGGGGGTTGGAAGGGACAGCAGCATGGCTAAAACAGAGTAAACAAGGTGGGGACAATGTGAAGCCAGGCAGAGAGCCCAGCAAGCCCAGGCCTTGGTGGCCACACTGAGTTTTATTCTATTCAGGTGCTTTGGGAAGCTATTTGAAGGGTCTAGGCAGAGAAGGGGGCTGACGCCCAGCGAGAGCGTTGGGGGTGGACTGGGGGTGTGTAGGAGTGCCAGAAGACAGTGCTGCCCCTGGCGAGGCCCGGAACAGGTCACCGGGTTAAAATGCTTGCTTCACTTAGGCAGGGTACTTAACCTCTTTGCACCTGAGTTTCCTCATAGCGTAGTGGTTGAAAGCATGGGCTCTGAGGACAGACCACCTGGGTTCCAGTCTGAGCTCTGGACAAGTTTCTGAACCTCAGCAGCATCGTCTATAAAAGAAGGATAACAGTACAAGTCACCTCGCAGGGCTGCTGCGGGGGCTGCATGAATTAATATACACGAGGTTACAGGAGGGGCTGGAATTTAGTGACTGCTCAGTGAACCTAGCTGGTGGCATCATCATGATGTCACCACCATCGTCATTGTTGTTATGATTGTTTATTACAAGGTGTATGACCTTTGGCAAGTAAGTTTCCTTTTCTGAGCCTCATTTTCCATGTTTGAGGATGATATATCTCCTAGGGTGGTCGTGAGGATTAAATTTATATACCTATATCTATCTATATCATCTATATCTATGTCTACATCACCTATATCTAGATCTATATCTATAATCTATATCTATATTTACCATATAGTAGGAGCTGGCTGAAGGGCAGCCATTCTGGTTTCTGTGCAAGGTCTGGCACTATAGAAGGGTCTTCATGCCACTGTACTGAGCACAATTGATACGGAGGTGCATCGTGTCTCCCAGAACATCCTTACACACACCATCTTGTTTGGACCTTCAACAGTTTCCTAAGAAAGATAACCTATTTCCATTCCAGTCTTACCAAGGAGAGACAAGGCCAGGGCTTAGAGCACCGAAGAGTTTGTGGATGGTCATACTTCAAGGTCTAGAACCCAAATGGTGGTGGTGGTGGGGTGCTCTCCCAAATCCCACTTCGCATCTTTCAAATTCAGAATCCTTCAGAGACTTGTGAGCAGGTATTTTCACCTCTGTTTCACAGATGAGCAAACAGTGGCTCAGGGAGATATACTTGCCCAAAGTCACATAACACGTAAACAATTAGATCTTCCTTCTGAAGCCAGAATTATTCCCAATCCCTGGTGGCCTTAGAGCAGACTTCTTAGTTTATGGCCCCTTTTCTTCTTCAGCCCAAGACAGCAGGCTCCCCTCCTTGCCTGAGTCTTAATAGCTGAGAGGCTGAGGGGTGAGCATTGGATTGACAGTTCAGCAACAAGGGCTTTGTCCTGACTCAGGGTGTCTCCTTAAAAGGGGGTTGCACGCTCTGTAAAACAAGCAGGTATGCCTGTTGACCTCCATCTCCCTTCCCTATATAACCAAATTCGAATCCATGCCAGGGAACCAAAAGAGCCCATAAGTTACAGAGAGGAGGTCAGTGGCCTCCAAAGTCTATGCGAGATGGAAGAAGAACTGAGGCTTAGTGGGGACATGCATTTGTGAGCAAACACCTGCAGAAAAGGATTGGGGGGGATATGGCTGCGAAAGGGAAGATCTAGAAGAGGAGCCTAACTGTTTGATTTTTGTCATAGTCCCAAGGAAGAGAAAATGGGCTGGCTTGGCACAAGGAAGAGTTGAGGTTGGATATTGGGGGGAACCCATAAAGTGCCATCCCTGGAGAGTGACTGTGTGAGTGTGATACTGGGAGATAGCTTGCTGCCTGCAGGTAGGACATGGGCAAAGTGCCTTGAGGGCCTTTCTCATTTGAGGAGCTGGAGGTTCTTTGTCATTTAGCAAAAGGAGCCCTGGACTTCTCGCCATCATTTACGAATGACCCTGATGGAATCACTTCCTGTGTGGCACCTCGTTTTCCCATCTGGAACATCCGCGGGAGAAGTGGATGGTCTCTGAGGTCAACTTTCTGGGCTTTTTCCCCCCAGGGACTTCACCAGACCCTCCTCCCAGACAACCAACAAGACACACGGCCCTTCGTCCTCGCAAGCCTGGGAACTGAGTTGATAACGGTGAGGAAAGACAAATTTTGTGAACTGATGGACAGCGAGGCAACAGAGAAGTTGTCCAGGTTCAAGATCGGGTACCCCAGGTCAGTGCTGGATATGTGTATACACCCCGCCAGATCATATGAGCATATCTTCACCTGTTACTTTAGTAAGAGAAAGAGAAAAGATGATAATACCTGATGCTGACAAGGGTGGGACAAAACTGGTGGCTGTGCCTACACTCTAAATTGGCTCAGTCCTTTGGATAATAATTTTAGCATTATGTGTCAAGTGCCATAAAACTGTTCCCACTTTTGGAAGCAATGGTCCTTCTGTGAATTCATCTTAATTTACCCAAGTTCTGGGAAAAGCTGCACGCATCAGGATGTTCATAGCAGTCATATTCATAATAGAAAACTGCCCCCACCCCCCACGTGTTATTCTAAGGGAATAGTTTAAAAAACTGTGGTCCATTCCCATGATAGAATATAACCGTCTCATTAAAATTATAGGTTTAATGGCTCTAATAGCACAAGGGTAAAATGGATGATATAGTGGTAATAAAAAGGACAGGGTACAAAATTATGTGTATAGTATGACTATCTCTTTATAAAACACAAGAGAAAAATCTAGAAGGAAATAAGCATGATAATTGCTGTGGTATGGCCAAATTTGTAATTGTCATTCTCTCTGGAAGATGGGACTGAGGGACTTCCTAGTTACAGTGGTACCTCGGTTTTCGAATGTCTCTGTTGAAGCATTTCAGTTTACGAACACCGTAAACCTGGAAGTAAATGTTTCGGTTTTCGAACATGCCTCGGAAGTTGGACATGCCACACGGCTTCCACTGAGGGCAGGATCCTGAGGCCTAGCTGTCGGCGGTTCGTCCCTCAGTTTTCGAACGTTTCAGAACTCCAATGGTCTTCCGGAACGGATGACATTTGAAAACCGAGGCACCACTATACATATTCCCCTCATGTTTGTTTTTGCTGTGAGCATGTGTTGCTTTTATAATGTTATACCCAGGTTACATGAGATTAATTTACACAGAGACCAAATTGAGTGTTTGGAGATTTATTTAGCCACCAGCGGTGGCTTACGAGCGGGTTCATGCCCTAAACAAACAGCCCCAAACAGTCTTTGCAGGGAGAATATAAAGGCAGAAAAAACAAACTATATTCCGTTTGGTTAAGGGGGAGCAGTTCGGTCAAGGGGACACGAACTAGTGGTGGAACTAGCAAAGCAGTATACAGAAGCTAAGATAAACTTTAATTAACTTTCTACAGTTATCTATCCTCTGGAATTTTGTGGGCTGCACTCCTCTACACAGTGCCAGGAAAGGAGAAGAGGTCATTGCTTCTACATAATAAATTTTGTTGCTCTTGTTTATCTTAAAGTAGCGGTTGTAAGGGTAGAAGGTGGGGTGCTGTACTTCAATAATGAGAGGAGAAGATATACTTGGTAAAAGCTGTGCTGAGGTAGTGACATCTAAGTGGATTTCCCCCGCTATTCTCCACGTTTTCCTGCAGTGATGATATATTATTTTCGTAATTTAAAAAGATAAATACCTATTTTGAAAGATTCAGTAAAAAATTATTTTTTACTTTTTCCTAGTTTTCAGATTCTCCAGAGTGAATACTTTTGTAATGTAAAAAAAAAATCCTTTATTTTTTTATTAATTTAAAAATTAATCTATGGCCCACACCAGGTCACAAAACTGTTTTGTTTTCATACTCTGTTACTAAATAGTATTTGAGGTATTTTCTTTAAGAATATATATGTAATATAAATAACATGTTAATTTTTATATCCATGTATTGCTATACTAATATATCGCATACATTATAAACATAAAAAATAGATCTGTAAAGACAATAAGACAAAGATAAATATAAATGAAGCCCTGCTGTTTTCTTCACATACCCCTACTGTTTCATCTTACCACCCTGGGTGACATGTCCCCACTGCCACTTTGGGACCCCCAGCCTAGACTCCTGCAAGTCTTACCACTGGTAACACTGCCTCAGTCTCCTCCTCACCAGGCCCTTTCTGCATACTGTGCTCTTGCTAAAACCCAAATCTGGCCATATTACACTCCCGCTTAAAACCTTTAAGTGGTATCTCACTGCCTATAGTTACAGTGCAGACTCAATGCGATATAAATGGCTGTTCATAGTCTGGTTCCTCAGCTCCCCTGCAGCACCTCCTGCCACCTCTCACCCACTACAGCAACCCAAGCAGATTGCCTCCTCCACATGTTCGCCTTTGCCACTGTAGGCCTTTCTGCCTGAAATGCTGTTCCCCCACCAGTCCTGTCCCTCTTTTTCTAATAAATTCTTGCTCACTCTTTAAGATCCATCTCCTCCAGACAGCCTTTCCTGATTGGCCCCTGGTTGGGGTTAGTACCCCTTTCTGTATACTCATCGTGCTCCCTCCGTGGCTCTATGATTAACCATACACATTGTATTATAGCTGTTGGCAGTGGTGTAGTTTGTATAGTTGTTTCCTAGCCACTTGATTAATTGCTTCATGAAGGCAGGGATTGGGCTTTATCTGTCTTTCATCTCTAGCACCTGTTCAGTACCTGGTAGGTGCTCAATAAATGTTGAATGGATGGGAAATACTCATTGGGGAAAACTAGAAAATGCTGNCCTTGACTGGGAATTGAACCCGAAACTGTTTGGTGCTCTAACCAGTGAGCACACCAGCTGAGGCATTTTTTTTTTTTTTTTTTTTTTTTTAATTTTTTTGTTAATTCTTACTTGAGGATATTTTTTCCATTGGTCTTTAAAAGACAGTGAAAGGGAGGGGGATAGACAGAGAGAGACACATCAATTGGTCACCTCCCACACACGCCCCAACCCAGACCAGGGATTGAGCCTGGCACCAAGGTATGTGCCCTTGACTGGGAATCAAACCTGCGACCCTTCAGTCTGCAGGCTGATGCTCTAATGGAGCCAAACCGGCTAGGGCAATGCCGAACATTTTAAAAGGCGAAAACCAAAATTATTTGCATTCCTTCTACAATCTCAATTAGCATTTTGTGTAGTTCTCTTAAGTATTTTTTTTTTTTTTTTACTGCATAGATCTATGCCAAATGTGCATTTATCATTCATACGCATGAAGTTTTATAATGGGGATCATGCCAATTATACAATTTTGCACTCTCTCCCCCCCTTTTTTTCTTTGTGATACTGTGATCAGACTTGGTTTTCCTGGCATGTTTGGGAAGCAAGTGTTGTTGTTTTTCTCAAGTGATTCCAATGGTAGAGGAAGAGGATGTGTGAAGGCAGGCAGATCTGTAGCTAAGCCCCATAAACACATGAAAGGATTTGATATGGGATCTATATGACTTCGGATAAGTCATTTCCCCTTCTCCAGGCTTCAGACTCCAATTTGCAAAACAAGAAAAGTAGACTAGAACAGTGTTTCCTAAGTATGGAACACATTCACAGAAAGTTTTCAAGATGATGTTAGGTGGCACAGGGATTGACATTGCTAGTTTTAATAGCTATGTATTTATTCTAGTGTGAATTAGAAAAATAACATGACTTGCTCACTAAAACCATGATCTGACAGATTTTGTTGCTTAGAACAAGGCCAAATAAATATTTAAGTAAAAGAAACTAAGTAGATTTAACAAAAAATCTTTAGTAAATTAAAAAACAGATAATTGGCCTGGCTCCAGCATGGCTCAGCAGTTGAGCATTGACCTATGGTCCAGGAGATCACGGTTTGATTCCCAGTCAGGGCACATGTCCAGGTTGTGGGCTTGATCCCCAGCAGGGGGCGTGCAGGAGGCAGCCAATCAATGGTGTTCCTATCTCTCTCTTCCTCTCCCTTCCTCTCTCTGAAATCAATAAAGGTATTTTTTTTTTTAAAAAAAAAAGAACAGATAATATGTAGATATGGCCCAAATTGGGGCAGTTTTGTGGGGAAAACATTAGGAAACCGTGGTGGTTCCTTGCAGTTCAAAGATGCCACGATTTTCTGGCTCCCATGTACTACTAATACAGACAATGGCTGTTTAGAGCCACCTACCCAAGGAATGATTTAAGGAGCTTTGGCTCCTCACATAATGCCGGGTCCATGACGGGTATCAGTTAATGCCTATTGAATTGAAATTCAGAAAAGACTTACATAGACTCGAGGGTGGCAGATGTTGGGGCTGCCCNCCTGTTGAATTGAAATTCAGAAAAGGCTTACATAGACTCGAGGGTGGCAGATGTTGGGGCCGCCGAGTCAGCACTTTGCTGCAATCATCTATAATTAATGCTGACAGACTGAATTCTGGCTCACTCATTAACTGTCGAACTCATGGTTTTCTAGGCTGCTAAAGCAGGCAGAAATCATATCCATTATCTAGCTCAAATCCTCCATGTTATAACAGGACCGTGAGGCCCAGGAAAGGGGCTGTGACATCCTGCAGGTCACATGGTCACTGGCCGACACACCTGCCCTGTGAATGCTTACAGGCTAGATAAACTGAAACCTCTTTTTCTGCAGAACACAGGGAGTGCCATGTAGAATATAATCACAAGAAAGAAGGGAAATCTCCAAGAGCAAAAGGAAGAGGAACCTAAGAGCCGAAGCACAGAGCGAGATCTAGTGTTGGGATTGCCCAGCGAAGATGGGGGTTAAGGGGATCATGGGTGGAAGTTGTACAGCCTGCAGGAACAGATGAAACTTTCCGTTCAGGTGAGGAAGAGATTAGAACTAAAAAGCCTGCATAGAGCTGAGGCCTTAAAAGAGCTACCCTGTTTAGTGAAAAACGAGACTGGAAATGGGTATGACCATCAGCATCAGGAGGTAACATGGAATCTTGTTACAGATTCCTCTAAGAATCTGTAATCGCCTGTTTGCCCCTCAGGGTTTGGTGAGTCCCTTAGCCTCTTTGGCCTTTTCCATGTTTNCCATGTAGAATATAATCACAAGAAAGAAGGGAAATCTCCAAGAGCAAAAGGAAGAGGAGCCTAAGAGCCGAAGCACAGAGCGAGATCTAGTGTTGGGATTGCCCAGTGAGGGGGGTTAAGGGGGTCATGGGGGGTCACAGCCTGCAGGAACAGATGAAACTTTCCGTTCAGGTGAGGAAGAGATTGGAACTAAAAAGCCTGCACAGAGCTGAGGCCTTAAAAGAGCTACCCTGTTTAGTGAAAAACGAGACTGGAAATGGGTATGACCATCAGCATCAGGAGGTAACATGGAATCTTGTTACAGATTCCTCTAAGAATCTGTAATCGCCTGTTTGCCCCTCAGGGTTTGGTGAGTCCCTTAGCCTCTTTGGCCTTTTCCATGTTTGTGAATTGGGGTGGTTATGAGGATTAAATTAATGAACAAATGTGAAGTGCTTGGTAAGTCAGAGTTAGTGTTATTTATTATGTAAGACATTGGAAGTTAATGGAAATTTTTAAGTGGTGTGCTGCTGAATGTTTAACAACAAACTCTCGGATGTGGGAGGTAACGCAGATTTGACGTGTTTGCCAGTTTCTGTGGTGTACACTCCCCCCACCATGCCCAATCTCGAGCTACCAACCTGATGTCATTGAACATGGAGTTGAGAAGAGATGCACACAATTAGCTCTCACAAGCTGGTGGGAGCTGACTTGGATACACCACTGAGACCAATAGGATTAGCTTGTAGCCCACTCTGACCTCTGGATTTTTTATTAACTTGCTCTCCGTGGATCAAAGTGGACTCTATTCTGGTCTAATAATGTAGCCAGAAGAATGTGCTAATCTGTTTGTGATTTATTAGGCTTGCCTCCTTAGGTGAGAGTACAGGTGAGTCAATGGAAATTGAACTTGCCCTTCCCTTGCTGTGATCTCAGGAGGAAATAAGCCAATGAGCGCTGAGTCCATGCCACCCTCCTCCACTTTCCCTACCCTTACATGCTGTGAGGAGGGTAGGGGGCAGAGTAGAGCCAGGACACCAAGGCCAGTCCAAGGCAGCTGTCAGTCTGCTTTCTGTCTTTATAGATATGCCTATTCTGGATATTTCATGTCAGTGGCATCCTACAATGTGTGGTCTTTTGTGACTTGCTTCTTAGCACAGTATTTTCAAATTTCTCCATGTTGCAGTAGTATCAATACTTCATTCCTTGTTATTGTCACATAACATTCCATATATATATATGGAATGGCATATATATACCATATGTTATTTACCCATTTGTCAGATGATGGACATTGGGTTGTTTTTACCTCTTGGCTATTATGAATAATGCTGCTATGAACATTTTTGTGCAAGTTTTTGTGTAGACATATGTTTCCATTTCTCTTGGGTATCTACCTAGGATTAGACTTGCTGGGTCATAAGTTACTCTGTTTAACCTTTGAGGGACTGCCAGACTGTTTTCCAAAGCAGCTGCACCAGCTTGCATTCCCATCAGTACTGTATTGATGCCCTTGTTCTAACATTTCCACATCCTCATCAACACTTACTGTCTGTCTTTGAATTATAGCCATTCTAGTGGACATAAGTGGTATCTCACTGTGGCTTTGATTTACATTTCCCTGGTGGCTAATGGTCACATATGTAATTTAAAAATTTCAGTAGCTACATTAAAGAAATGGGTGAAATTAATTTTAATAATACATTTTATTGAATTCAGTATTTCTAAAGTATTATCATTTCAACATGTAATCAACATAAAAATATTAGATACTCTACATTCTTTTTTTGTTCTAAGTCTTTGAAATTGGGTGAATGCTTTATACTCACAGCATGTCTCTAATTCAGACTGGCCACACTTCAGGTACTCAGTAGTCACATGCGGCTCACGGGCACTGTGTGAACCAGCACAGGTCTAGGGAAGAGAGTGTGGGAAGAAAGGAGGCAGGCAGAGAGAAGAGCCTGGGGAAAGGCACAGAGGTGGGAAGGAGCACATGGTGTTTAGAGATTGCAAAGTGTGGTGGGCAGCAAGGCTGGAGGAGTAGGGGACAGGGAGGAGCTGGTGTGGGAACCTCAGCATCTGTGCCTTACCTTCAGCGATGACGATATGTGCCAGAAGTTCCTCAGGGAGAACAGCTGGAATATCTTTCGGAAGGACCTGGTGCAGCTGCTGGTGGAGCCTCGCCGACGTCCACCATTCACCCCAATTCGGCACAAGAAGGAAGAGATCTACAACCCCAAGTCTCTGACACTGGATTTGTGTAGCTTCAATAAGAAGACTAAACCTTACTATCCCATTTTTATGGCACCCCAGAAAAATCTACCCCCCTTGAGGGTTGTCCAAGCCATCACAGCACCCCGGTACAAAATCCAGGAACTCCTGCCTCAGTACAAGAATGCAGGGGTCCTTGTTTAGACCCAATAAAGGATGTAGGTTTGACCACTGTGCTTCCTGAATGGCCACCATGGGAGTTGTAGGGCTTGGAGTGGGGGATGCTGGGGGCTCAGCTGTGGGTCTGGACAGATGTTTAGGGGCAGCACCTGGGGCACTGTCTCCCCTGACACTTGTGGGGCTGAGTCAGGAAGCCGGGCGTGGATGGGTTATCACTGGGGATAGTGTCAGGGTGGGAGGGTCTTAGACGAGATGGATGGGAGGCAGAGAGGGGCTCACACTGAAGTGAACAAGACTGGGGTTGCGAATTCAGATGCCTTCCAAGGCCAGACAAGTCATCTAAAGGAGAGCAGCAGCAGGACTAGGGAGGCACGGAATGGTGGGGATTGGTGCGCACATTCCCATCTAGATGGAGCAGCTGCTCCTTAGACCCAGGCAATTGATGCCATGCCAGGAAATAAGTGCAGGCCTGGTACTGCTGGCCTATTTTTCAAGAGATCCAAGAAACCCAATATTTAAGAAGATTCCTACTGGTTTTTAAATGTAGCAAATAATTCAAATTGTTTTTGAAATACTGTTAAGCAAACAAAACACTTATGTGGGCTGTGTTGGGCCTACAGACTGCTATTTTGCCAGTGCTCATCAAGCACCTCTGTCAGGCTGACGGAACACCAGAGACTGTGTGCGGCATGACTGTGGGGGGAGGTATAAAAAGCCAGAGAGAGGCGGGCGGGCAGCATGGCAGGAGTGGCATCCTGGGTCACGGACGAGCAAGCCGCCCCAGCGAGGGGCAGGCCAGAGGTAGCGAGGCGGTCGGTTGCCCTTAAAGAGGGCTCCTCAGTCCCTCTGGGGATGGGGCCTGACTCCGCAGCCACCTGTCACTGGCCTGGGTTGGCACTACAGACCCAGCGCCCACTCACCTCTTTCCCTTGGGAAATCCCATAGTTTAGCTTTGACAGTGCCTGGGGCCTGGTGGAGGCCAGGACAGCACAAGGACCTTGCCTGGGCCACCAGGAGACAGATGAGCCTTCTCTGACCCTACGCACTTGAACACTCACCAAGCCCACCCCTGGCAAGGAGCGGAGTCAGGGACAGCTGAGTGCGGAGCTGGACATCGGAAGCTCTGGAGAACCTGGCTCTGTTTCCATCTCACTAGACCCCCTTGAGCACCTTGAGTCCTTTACCTGCACCCCAGCTTCCCCGGTGGCAAAATGAGTAAGTTGGACAAGATCAATGGTGTTCATGAATGAGGGGTGAGTATAGTTTGAAAAGCATGTTCAACATTATGCTTTTGTATGTTGAATTTACAAGAAAACTGTTTATGTTGCACAGCAAAGGAGGAGTATGGAATTTTTCTACCAGAAGGCAGTATGGGTGTAAAAGGTAGAGGAACAGTGGATTTAATCACCTCAACTTCCCTGATAGCTCCAGATGGTCAAGGAGCCTGAGACATCTGAGGGAATCCTGGAAGGGCTGTCTGTGACCTACAGGGACGGGGTGGCACTGTTTGGGAACCAGGTAAGTTGGAGGGTGTGACTTTATTTGGGACCTCTTTGCGTGTAGGGATGCAAAGATGATTGTGTGGCTGTGGCTCCAAGATGACGGTGTGGACACCTTGTTCATTCATTTGAAATCTACTTATTAAGCACTTGCTCCATAGCAGATTCAAAGCAGGGTCAGAGGCAGTCTCTCTTCCCTCTTATCCTCTAGGCCTGGGGTCAGCAAACCCTTTCTGTAAAAAGCCAAATAATAAATATTTTGGGTTTTGCCAGCCATGCAGTCTCTGTTGTAACTACTCAACTTTGTATGGTGAAAACAGCTTTAGTGTTCCAATAAAACTTTATTTACAAAAGCAGGTGGCAGGCCAGATTTGACCAGTGGGCCATAATTTGCTTACCCCTGCTCCAGGCAATAGCCCTTGAAGGTTCTTGAGCAGATATATGGGTAGAGAAACTTATTGAGCACTTATCCCATGAGAGCCATCTTGCTAAGCATCCGACTGGAATCTGAATAACCTCTGGGCTAAGATCCCAGCTCTGCCACTTAATGGCGGTTGAGGATTAGAAGAGTTGGTACATGTACTGCAAGGTGGAGGATTGTATTCACCAAGATCCCTGGATCCCGCTTCCTGGAAAGTGAGAGAGAAAAAGTTCCAGAACAGGAGGCAGATCATGTTTCCTGGGAGAGTAGTGGGTGACAAAACAGACTAGGACAACCTGGGAGTGAAGGTCCTGTGTGGGGGAGAGAGACTGTGGGGGCTGGGCTTCAGGAAGTCTTGAGGGGAACAGAGGAAGAGCAAAGTTTTTTCTGAAGCCACAACATAACAAGGACCAGAGAATGAGAAATGACTAAAGAAGTTTTCAAAAAGCTTTTCTGTACAGTGAGAATGTGTTTCTCCTTTGGCATTTTCTTAAGAAACCAAGTAAGCATTTGAATAGCTCTTACTTAGGTTTTATGCAGTGCTGCCGTTTCTTTGACTTCAGTAATCAAGGAGAGAGTGGGCAGCATGAGGCCTCAGTTATATTTGGGTTACACAGGTACGGTCCCTGGCACATAGTAGGTGCTCAGTACACATTAGATGTTAGCATCTTTTTGGCCGAGATCGATTTGGCCATAGGAGACTCTCTTCCCCTTTCAATGGAATAGGAAACCAGCCTTGGAAGGCTAAGCCTTTATCATCAGTGATAAAGGCCATCCCCAAGAGATTTGGGGTGAGATGGTCCCGGCTGTGATCTTGCCCAACGCCCATACTCTTCACTAAGTGAAATGGTTACCATCAACATTAAGAGTTGCATTGGAGGGAGGGAGCAGAGGCAGGTCACCCAAGCACTGGGTGAGGGCACTGTTACAAGGATGGGTGGAACAGGGTGGGGAGGGCTTGTGGTTCCAGGTTGTGAGCGGCAGAATAAGCAGTGGTTCTCAAGGCTGCTCCCCCTCCCCCCACACGCTGAGCAGTAAGGAGCAGGGATCAGAATCAGGCGGGAGGGCAAATTGGGATGTATTTGCTCATTCAGAAGGAGCAAATATGATACCCCTTGGCACAAGTGTTAGCAACAAACTATGTTTCAGTGCTACAGAGGTCTTCGCTGCCCACCTGGGCACAGGTCCAGGGGTCAGGAAGTCCACAGTGACCTGCCATGAGGGAGAAGGGCCCGGGCTCAGGTATCGAGTGCCCAGCATATGCCAGGCATTATGTGAGGTACTCAACAGAGGCCATCACCCTGAAAGTATTCCCTGGCAACTAACTAGGTGGCATTATCTCCATCTGACAGATGAAGAGCCTGAAGCCCAGAGAGGCAAAAGCCTGTCTAAGCCCGCTGGGCAATCAGGTGGAGCACCGTTCCAGGAAATCCATGCGCTTCCTGTCACCCCGGCGCCCTCCTCGACAGTCAGCATTACAGCGTAGGTACTGTTACAGCGAGTTACTCATCTACCCCACATGCACCATCTGTTTTCAAAAAAGAAATTCTGCACATACATCCCAGGAACTGTGCTGGAGAGAAGGGTCACCCTCTGGAGTGACTCTCCATATGTAAATAAACACGGTCATACTTGGAGAGGCACACCCAGGCCACGTGAGCCAAAAATACAGCCCCAGCACTAACAGCTTCCACTGTTGGAGGAAAATGAAAAAACTCACTTGAAAAATAAACATGGGAGATGTTGCCAGTATCTGTTATAGCAGGTGTTTAAGATCCCATCTTGGGGTTGGAAGCAAAGCATTCTTTAAATCCTCTATTGCTTTTATCTAGCTCGTGGAAAAATCTCACCTTCCACTTACGGGAAGTCTAAGGGGTGAGATGGGTCACTGCAATTCCCAGACGACCACCAGAGGCCATTTCACTGTGACACTTTTCTGGTATTTGGGGATTTAAGGGGTTTAACCACAAGGGTACCGAGTTGCAGAATCTGTAATCACTGGTTCAGAGCCGACAGTGAGGTCTGGTAGTGTCTAGGTGCTGAGGAGCAGCAGAAAGCTGAAACGGGTTTTCCATGGCTGCTGAAGGCTATGGGCTACAGCCCTGGGGAGGGAGCTGGGCGCAGTGGGCAGGTGGCATGTTGGGATATGTGCTGAGTGACTTTCAGCAGGCTCCTTCCCTTCCTGGAGCTTCACTGCTATCATTTGTAAAATTGGAGGGGTCTAGTAGGTGCTCATCAAGCCTCCCCTCAAACCCAGGGCTGTGCAGGGCCCCTGACCCTCTCTTCTCTTGCCCCCACCTATTCCCCTACTTCCAAAGCCTCCCCACCCCCAACAGAAAATCAGAATCAAGAAGAAAATGGAAAAAATATGTTTGGGTGAAATTAACAATAAAAAAAGCAGAGATAGGGACTGCAAGGGAAAGAGGGTAACTCCTGACATTTGGTTCTGGCACCTTCTTGGGTGTCAGGTTCTCACAGGTAAGACTGTACATAAATTAAAATTTGAGTTGGGCAATTTGAGTTGCTAAGTGAAAATGTAGAAAGGGCAGTACCGGGAGAAGGAATAGCTCAAGCAAAGTTGGAATCACCGACCAAAGTGCAAGGTTAACTTAAAGAGCAGCAGAGCTCCCAGGAGTGGAGGAAGGGGTCATCGGGCCTGAGACTTCAGGTACCTCAGGGCCCAAGCATGAGGGCGTGAACACCGTGCCTCTGGAGTGTGCTAGCTTTACAAGCAATGAAGACTTCATGTAGGTTTTTAAAGGAACATTTATTTTTTAAAAGTTAACATGCATATAATAGGAAACTGAAAAACACAAGCAGCAAAGAAGGAAGCCACCCACAATCACAAGCAGTTTACAGCCCGACCTGTCCTAAGTCCCCTGTGTATCTACACAGCTAAGCTCCCATTTTTATGTAATTAGGATCTTACGGTTACATATCATGCTTTTTAACACATCGTGAATATTTACCATTTCAAAGTCCCCAAGCTCTATGAGTATTTTGATCACCAAGAACTCCCTACTTAATCTGGAAGAAAAGCAAATGTAACCCTGCCTTTCTTGGCAACAGAAAATTCATAAAGGACAAAAATAGCAACAGACCTTTAGATAAAGGTATTGGCAATTTACAGTTAAAATACTGCATTCCCTAAATGTTCATTAAAAATGACAAAGAGCAAGAGTACAAAGTATAATGCTTCCAAGAGAGTTCACTATGATTTATACTTTTAAAATATCAGCAAGGAGGCAAGTTTTGACTGAAGTACATAAGTGTATTCCTCTAGCACAGACAAGAGATGCATGCACATCA